CTTCTATTTCCATCCTCTTTCTTTGCTTAGGATTTTCTAGTCTTGTCTCAGCTTGTTCTAATCCCAAACAAGACAGAACCACCTTTGACATTGGACGAGACACGAGACTAAAATCCAACGCAACTTATTTTTAAGAGAGGACATGTGATAAGGTTGTCTTGGACCTGTCCTGTTGACACCCTTAGATAAAACTATAGATTACAACTTCTACAATCGCAGATAAATTAATGTAAATATCACAAAGTGATGCAAAGGAATGAGAAAGAATGTAAAGAAGGAAACTACATTCCATAGAGAGTCTTGTTTGTTTATATATCTCCTAATGAATACATAACTACATAATTGTAAGAGATTCTGTAACACTTGCCCTGAGTGTTATCCAAAAATCATATAATTCAAATAAACTAAGTGTGGTTAAGAAGTTGATCTTCTAACCAACTTAAGAAATAAATCATTTAAAACCTTAAAAAAAATTATAGGTTCTACCTATAGTGCACGAAAGCAAGCTAGACAAAAGTGGAATAAAAAGATGCTGTCATGACAGCATTAAATTGCTGTCATGACAACCCTCCAGGGCCAACTTTCAGGAGGCACCGTTCCGCCATCCGACCTCCGATCGAAGTGATTTTAAAGCTCACATGTCACATTCAAAGGGTACTATAAGTGTACCAAATTTCAAAAAGATCCAATAGTCAGATTAAAAATTAGACATGTTAAAAGATTGGTCATTTTTGTTGTCATGACAGCTAAAAAGCTGTTATGACAGCACCTTCTGACTAACTTCTGGGGCGTACCATTTCATCATCCGACCTCCGATCGAAGCGATTAAAGCCCACATGTCACTTTTAAATAGTACTATTTGCATACTAAATTTTGGAAAGATCCAACAGACGGATTGAATTTCGTGCATGTTGCAACATTATTAATTATTGGTGTCATGACAGCACTTTTGCTTTCATGACAGCTCCTCCGGACCAAATTCTGGAATACGCTGTTTCTCCATCTGATATCTAATCGACGTGATTCCAAAGCCCACACAAAGCTTATAAAAGGTTTTACTTGTGAACCAAGTTTTAGATAAATCCAACGGTCGGATTAACATTTGGACACCCGAATGTAAAAGTGCAGTTTTTTGGTAAAAATTATTTTTAAAATTATCCGAATCTCATCCTAATGGTCACAAACTTGTGAAAACACTTTGGACATGCCAAATAGGACTAAAAACACCTGATAGAATATTTAAATGATAGAAAAATTATTTATACCAAAATTTGACCGCCCGGGTGCCATTTCTCAAAATGGACCCTAAAACCCCAAAATGTACAAATCACACAAGAGTAGCCAAAAACTATTTCAAATATCATATATACATATGAATACACACTCTAAACATTTTCACTTGACTTAGAGATCTCTATAGGGTCCACGTACCCACTCTCTCTATTCAAGGTATATGTTTGCTCATAGCACACCATTTGCAATGCAACCATTTTGCATTTGCTTGTGGAAACACATATATACCAACATAAATATTTGCTTGTTGTTAAAACTTGGTCTACTAAATAAATCCATTAAAACCACACACCATATCCAAGTTTTCTAGCCACAAGTTTACAAGCAAACAAAAATTTATACATAAGCCATACAATCCATACATACTCACGCACATATACATAATCATATCCTACTGGCACCATAATCCTAAATACATTACAATAGATTTTCTCAAAAGAAAGGGGTCGCAGTTCTTTGCAATTCACAAACAACCCCTAGCTTTGTTCCTTTCCCCGTCCTCCACTATTCCTTCGCCTGGACCTAGAATATTGAAAAGAAAGGGGTGAGACAACTACAGTCTTATTAATAGAGAAATCTACATTGACTATTACAAAGTAAGCCATAATCGAATAAATGAATAATAAATTCAACATAGTATAAAATTTAGCCATTTAAAATGCATGAATGCATGACGTAGGCCGATATGGCCTTTCATGACCAACAGAATGCCCCTTGGCACTTTTTAACTCACAGGTATACCTACTTGTACCTCCACAAGCACAAAACATAATCTAAGGCATGATCTAATCCATCGAACCACCTATGCCCCTTCGACGTGAATCCTGAGCAATCAAAGCTAACTCCCTTCAAGAGCCAGCTCGACTTACTCTCCATGTAAGGGCTACCTTGGCCTAGGCACTCAATCTCACACTTAATATATTGGATTCCCTCTCCCATTGAGAGATGTCGAACACTTAATACACTAACCACTTTAGTACACTGAGCCCACAATACATAAGGCAACACTGAGTACTGGCAGCGTGCCATAGAATATCAAAAGTTCACACCTTCTCATTGGTGAACTCCCATCGAGATCATTCCTTTTATTCATGTCTACCTTTCTCGAGTATTGACCACTTCAACACTCTAAGGTAGTATAACATTTATAAATTTTCCTTAAACGGTTCCTTAGCCTATCTAAGGTACCTTACTTAATTACACTTCCTTAAGTGCAACTTCTATTCTTTATGATTAAAATACATGCAAACAAATTTTGTTTCTATAAAAATATTGTTGTTAAACAATTAGAAAACATATTTGCACTATAATCAAAGTAGTACCCCATAACCCCAAAGCACATTTAATCTTTTAAAACATGTATGCATGATAGCTAGTAATATTTATTCAAAAATAGCTAAAATAAAGTAATAAGAAATATAAATTTCCCTGTTACCTCAACCCTTTGGTACCAAAAAGGTTCCTCTTGTACAAAATAGGACTCGGCTTGTTTCTTAACTTCTGAACAAATTCCACCAATAATCCCTACAACATATAAGTGATCCACATCACTTATCATGACAAATAACATTAATAAAGACTATAACTCATACCACACAACTTGGGTCAATGAGTTATAATCCATCCTAATAGTCCATATAACCAACCATTCACATAGTATTACTTAACCACCAAAACCATTTATTAGCCATCACTAGGCTAATTTCCAATTTATATAATTTTTAATTAATTAAAAACCTTCACTTAGTATCACCAATTTTCACCATTAGCCCTTATAATGAAAAACAAACTTTAATTTAAATTTTATTGGGCTCAAATGGTAAAATTATAACTAAATCAATAGACTTAAATCATTGAAGAGCAAAACCCAACCTCTTGGGGTTTGATTTGTGTCCAAAACACCTCTTTTCATCCAATTATCCACTCAAAATATTAAAACACCATATAGAAACTCAAAACATCCTCCTAAAGATCTAAAGAAACAAAAGCTTACAAGAATAAAGCCTTTGGGATCAAAATCCAGAAATTTTCTCTTCCAAAAATTGAAGAAAACAAAGAGGGATGGAAGAGAATTGAAGTAGGGAGTTTATCTATTGTATAGCCGAGCTCGCAACGACCGTAAAGCCTTCTAGAAGTCCTAGATTTGAGCCTAACTCCCTCTCTTTCTCCTCTCTTTTTCCTCTCTCTCTCTCTCTCTCTCTCTCTCTCTCTCTCGTGCATTCATTTTCTTTCTTTCTTCAATTTTGTTTCTGCATTCATTTGGATCTTTAAATTGCTGATATTAGACTTTGGAGAAAATTACAATAAAAGGCCTAATATTTTTTATTATAACACAAAAGCTTGGGTCAACTTTGGTAATTTTTTTCGTAATTAAAAATCAAATAAAATCAAACTTTTGTTCAGAAAAATTCAAACTCTAGACCTCTATCAAATTATTCTGAATTTTAATTTAATTATAAATATTTTATTTTATTTTTTTTAAATAAATTCGAGTCTTAAAATTTTTGGGATGTTACAGATTTAAAGCCTGTTTGGATAACCCTTAAAAGCATATTTAAATCACATTTGAGATGTGCTTTTGTCAAATCCAACAAATAGTTGGATCCCCCAAATGAACTTTTGCCAAATGGAAACTAAAAACCAAATATACCTTTAGTCTTTACCAAAATGAGGTTTTAGGTCTCATTTGCTTGCTAGATAAGAATAGAATGAAATACATTAAAAAAAATAAAGATAAAAATAGATGATTAAAGAGGATTGGTGAGCACATTCATAAGAGAGAGGGGTAATTTAGTTTATGGGATTAGGAATAATGATTCATGAAATTTTGGAGGATGTGATGATTCCACATTTGGAGTATATATTAATAAATTTGATCATACTTACCAGGGGTGGAGTCAAGAATTTTTATTAAGGATGACCGAGATGATAAAATATATATGATAATTAAAGAAAAGTTATATATATATATATATCACCAACATAATATAAATATTTCAACATAGATATTTATTTTCAATTTTATACATAATATATAGATATATTAAATTTTTCTCATCGATTTTTCATAGTAAAAAAATCATTAGTTATTATGTTTACGATAAAAATTTTAGCAGTTTCCTTCTCAATATAAATTATCATCAAATTAATGAAAATTTTATCATCCCCGTGAGAAATAAATGATTTAAATGCATTATTGAAATATAAAATTTTGTCCAATGTAATAAGTTATATTACTTATTTATTGAATTTACTATTTAATTCTTTCAATTGATAATTGTAGTAAATAAATATATCAACACAGTAATAATGTTTAATTGTCATAAAATCTTTATGTCAATGAGATCGAATTATATCATAGTAAACATATCATAAATTTCAATAGCTTAATTATTAGAAAAAGTAATTTTTTTTAGAAGAACATCTTCACCAAACCTCTTATTAAGCTTTAGATAAGTGATTTTATAATAAATATCAAGCACATAGCATTCAATATATTTTAAAATTTTTATTGAAATATTTAACAAAGTTTGTTAATAATAATTCTCATAATTTCTTTCATCAAATATAAAACGAAAACAAAATAAAACGACATCAATACTTTAAGGGCATGTATAGCATTATTTTGTTGACAATAAATAGATCAAATGACAATCATATTAGGCTACTAAAACAGTTGCTCTATACATACAAAAAAAAAACATATATAATTGAAATGAAAATTTCATCTAGTGTTTTATAATTGCTATAATGTTCCAATTTATAAGAGCCGAAAATATATAACCTCTATATTTTACTAAAAAAAATTAAAAAGTTAAGGTTTCCAGCCGATCCCTTTGTCTCTACCCTTGATACTTACTATTGGAGGAAGGATAATTTAGTTCATTTTTATCTTTATTTTTTCAATTAATTCCATTCCATTTTTTTCTAGCAACTAAACGGGACTTTAGTTCTTAGAATATGTCAACCCAAAGCCAAGTGGGAATAAAGGATCATGCATTTTAACCCCATAATTTAGTTGATCAAGATCCTCAACTCTTCTAAACCAAGTCATAGGAAGTTGACCCTTAAAGTCAACATGTCCAAAGATAACATCTGTGATTCCTTGAGCTTCAGTACCAGGTAACCAAGCAGCAACAAGAGCATCAATCTTTTCTAACAGCCATGGCTCTAACACTAAGGGTCTTCCAGATATCAGAATTACTAGAGTTGGGAATTTATCTGCAATTGAGCTTATTATGTCAGGGCCATTAAATGGGATTACGAGCTCATGATTGTCACCAAAAAACGCAGCATAGGGTTTTTCACCAACAGCTACAATGGAAAAAGATATGTCATTACGTTCTAGAGTATCTTTTGATGGACTCTGCTCATAAATAATTTCAGTTTCATCTCCTACAGCTTCCTCAATGGCATCCAAGAGCGTTGTACCTAAAATAGTGTGTAAAGGTTAAATGTAGCAACCATGTGGAATAAGGAAGTAAAAGAGTGATATGAATATAAATCATGAAAAATGAGCATTAGCATGAACCTTAGATTAAAATTAGAGAAGAGAAAATGAATTGGGTTATAAGGTTAAAAATAAGCCCAAGGCCTAATAGACTAGACCCATAAGAGATCGGGCCAGGCTATGATTTTATCTTTTTTAAATGTTAATTTATTCTTTTAAAGGAAGATCATTAAGAGCCTTCGGTTAGCCTGGAACATGGGCTTTAGGAAAATCATCATTGAATCTAACTCAAAAAACCTAGTGGATAATTAATGACTATTGTGAACGTAATTGTTAATTTTCATAATCTTCTCAAATATAACTGGAATGTAATTGTTAATTTTGTTCCACGTGAACAAAATATGGTGGTAGACTCTTTGGCGAAAGCTGGTATCTCAAACTCCTCTCTTTTTGAGTTGGCTCTCATTTTTTTGAGGAACTTGTTGGAAATTGTACCTTAGGCCAATCATTTTATTTGGAACATCCTAATTTGTAATGAATTTCTTCTTTATTATCATATTATTTGCATATTCATTATGGTAGTTGTATCCTCGAATAAATTGAAGTGATTATCCTAAATGTCCTTGGTCAATCATCTTTGGAGGAACAAAAATGAAGTAAGACTAGTATAATTTTGATTGATGTATGGAGATATGAATCAAAATCATAAGCACTTGTAAGAGTGCAAGGTACTGAATTGACTCATTATAAGAAAGCTGCATAGATCAAGTTATAAGCTTATCTCATATATAATCATGTCACCAAGCCCTTTGACCTGAGGTCATCATGAATTTTTACATGAGGATTGCTAAGCTTTGACTTAGTCAAAAGTCACATTTGATCGGGTGATCATAAAGGTTATGATTGAGTTTTGTGAATTCCATATAAATCAATATGAATGGTTGAGATAAAATTTATCCCTCACATTCGTAGAGAGATGTTATTAGGCCCCTCGATGAGTGAGACTAAGAAATGCATGGCCATGCTATGATGGAAAAGGGTTTCTATTCTATAATTAGTTTACTTAGGGATTGAGAAAGTAATGCTCATGTAAAGGAAGATGAAGTTTTCACGCCTTATACTTGACCGAAATATCGTGTAACAAAAAAGATGTGATATGATTGCACTAAATCACCAATCCCTATATGATTTAGGTAGTTGTAATATTTTGCCAGAGGCTGTTTGCAACTTGTGGATTAATGATGCTATTAGCCTACTACCAATTTCATATAGGCCTATAGGATTGCACACAAGAAGGGCCTAACTCGAACTATAATGTCCAGATTCATTTAATCTAATTTGTATCTAGATTCAATAAATATAACATTTTAATTTAAGGTGAATAGATTTTATATTTGTGTATGTGTGTGAGATAAATATTTATATGTGTATATAATGTGAAATTCAAATTTATGTGTGTGTGTATTATAATATTATATTATATTATATTAGCATTAAATTTATTTCTATAAGATAGGATAAATTTAATAACTAATATGATATAGAAAGATATCATATAAGTTTTAAAATTTGAATTTATGAGATAAAGTCAAGTTGAAAAAAATCTTATAAGATGTGATATCTTAAATTAAATTATTTTTTGTTGGCTCTTAAATGGATTAAATAAAATAGTTTAAATTAATCTATTGGATAGATCTAAATTTAAAATAGCCTATTTAATCTAATTTTGAAATTGATAAAGATTAATAAAGACATCAAATCTTCAAAATTAACTCTTATTAAATTCAAATATCTCATAAAAATTAGATAACCAACCTCTTTATAAGATAGGGGCTAGGGTTTTTTCTAAAGGCTAATGAAAAGTAGAGAGAGCTACCCTCACTGTAAGAGAAAAGAGAGAGACATTGTTCTAGTAGTAAAGCTATTCGTGTAAATACCGATAGAGGGAGTTGTTCATGGATATTCAATTCCTTAAATCCATAAGAAAAGATCCTTAAAGTTGCAAGTGAACAGATAAAGTTTTATCTACTCTAACTTAAATGATGTCCTTCGTGATTGAAATTGGATATTTTAAAATTTTAATTTTTCTGCTACACCCCAGAACTTAGTGCCAAAGGATTATATATGATCTAAATCCCTCGACTTTGCTTAATTTTTATTTGTACTTGGGCTTTGCCCACCTTTTATATATAAAAAAAAGATCATTAAAATTCATGGTGCAAGTTGATGATGAAGTTTGATATTGATTTGGAAATTAAAATTAATTTATTTTCATGTAATTATGTTTTCTTTAAATTCTTTAATTACATGATAAATATAATTTTCTATTTAAATTATCAAATTTTCGACTTCAACCCTACGTGTTTTATACTTTACATATTATATTTATATTTAATAATTTTGTAATGTAATATAAAATAAAATAATCACACAACCACACATATATACAATCTTACTACCCAACTCTAATTCCCTATAACATGGGATGAAGTTCTTTAGTCTACTTATTTAATTATTTTTTCATATTCATAGTTCAAATAAAAATGAAAGGTTTTTGTATGAAAGTAGAATTGTTAACACGAGTTAACTCAACACAACAGGTCAAATGTTGACAAGGTAAGCTAGAATCAGCCCACCTCTAAATGCCAACCCAACCCATCATAGGCGAGTTGGTGGGTCAAACTACCAACATGTTTTTTAAATTTAAATATTTTTTTAAAAAATTTTAAATTGAATTACAATTTTTGTAAAATAAACTTAAATTATTTCCATATTATCATTATATTTATGATTAAATTAATTTCAAAATCAACAAATATAAGCAAATAATACATTTTACATAATTATGATCAATATAAAAATGATAAAAAAAGAATCAAACATAAAATTATGTTCCTAACATGAATCAAATAAAGTTATACTTAAATAAAAACAACAATTTTTTAATAAAATTAAAATTATAAACAAAAATTATAAAAAAGCAAGCCAACATGGTGGGTTGTGAGTTAAGTGGGATGTGTCAAATGAGCCTGCTTTTATGAAAAAATTTTTCAATTCAACCTATCACTTTTTGACAGATTGACTCATTGAACCTAATCTATATTCTTTATTCTCTATGAAAGGTCTTTTGAGTCTAATTTGTATATGCTCAGAGAAAAGGAATCGAGCACTTACTACATGTTTAAGACTATATTTATTTTTTTAAATAAAACATGAAATGATATGAGAGAGGGGACCTAGCGGTGGAAGTTTTCCATGAACAATCCAACAAGCTATCTCCAATACAATTTGCAACATTTCTTCATTTTTCTTTAGGAATTTGTTTTTAATGACCACCTTTCCTACTTATCTGATAATTCGACTTACATAAATTTATATTATGGTTAAATATTAACAACCATAATCTAGCAACAAGAGTCTTATCATCATGAGAAAGTTACACAAGTAAACTATTCATAGGTTTCAAATTTATATATATCATTTTGTATATGCACATATCTGACTCTAATCTAGCTGAGAATATAATGTGTAGGTTCTATGTTGTTTAGTCAATGTGATTAAGTTTTCTTTAATTAAAATGGACATATTTCTAGAGGGTCAAATGTTTTATTTCTGAGTGATGATGGGAAGGATTAAAGAAGATTTATATCTTTTGATCAAATTTAGACTTTAAATAAGTGTTTGCACAAATGATTAATTGGAGAATAATAGAGATGTCCTAAAATGATCAATTACTTTAACTTAAGTTCAAAGTGCCAAATTCTAGGAATTTGCAAGTTCAGTTTTTAATTTTGTAACTTTGATGTGATAAATTTGCAACTCATGTTTTAAATTTTAACAGAAAAATAAATTTATTTATTCTTCAATCATGTTATAATTTAAAAAATAAGTTGCAAATTTATTACAACGAAGTTGCAAAATTAAAAGTCGAACTTGCAAATTCTTGAAATTTGGTACTTGAGACCTATATTGAATTAATTGATCTTTTTAGGACCTCTCTATCATTCTCCCAAAATTAATATTTTTTGTACAAATTTAGCCATAAGGCTTAGCCCATTAGAGCTGGGCTATCATATTTCTTAGTTCTAGATTAAATACAAATTTTTTTGGTCTTAGGACTTTTTTGTAATTAAAAAAAATTCAAGCGCTTTCTCTTTCTCCCTACCCACTCTCATGAATATGTATAAGAAGTTTAGGGTAAGGGTGGGAGGCAATTATTTGAAAGAATTACTTCTATGTCTCATACAACACCTCAAATATCATGAATTCTATTAACAAATATATGAGTGGTCAATTTGTTATGGTCAAGTTATCAATGGATCTAGAATAATTTAGAATATTGTGTGAGATTTGACAGTATTTCTGCCTAATTGTTTTGAATGTTTTTCAAGTTTTAGTGTTTTACATTAGAAAGATATAAAGCTAAAAAGTTTTGGAATAGAGTTTTCATTTCTCAATCTTTTAACTAATATCAAGTGTATGGTCAGATGTTTTGGATTTTTGGAAGAGGCCCACATTAGAGGCTATCTTGCTTACACTTCAAGCTTAATTTGGATAGAAAGAAAATAGAGAAGAGAGAAAACTAGGAGAAGAAATTGCCAAAAATTTATTATTTTTAGAAGTTTTTCCTCTAGTTTTCCCTCTTCCCTATTTTTCTCCCTATCCAAATGAAGGATAAAATTAGAAATTTACTCCTTTTCTCCTACCTCTAGAATAAATTTTCATTTGTACCGATAAAAAAATTTGTTTTCCCTATTTAACATTTTGATATCTGAAACTTAATATATATATATATATATATATATGCTTATCAAATAAAATTATGGTGTTTATTCTACCAAAAACAATAATGATATACTCCATTTGTTCAAGATTGTAAGACACTTTTTTTAAGTATCATAAAAAAAATATAAGATATTTTAAGTCTTTTAAGGTATTGTTAATAATTTTCTTTTCAAAATACCTTTAATTAGAGGTATAATTAATATTTATTTCTAATTGAAATGTACTATTAAATAAAGATAAACATGAAAAGAATGTTTAATTTTAAATGTCATTAGTTAAATTAGACAAAGATGTAAATTAGATAAAAATACCTTATAATTTTGAACGGGAGTATTATTTAAGTATTAATTTTGGGAGAATTACAAATAGATTCCAAATAAAGAAATTATTTTTTAATACCATTTATATGTCAAAATTTGAATTTATATGAAGGTAGGACTTGTGGGCAATTATTTTTTTTTTTTGTTTGCGGCATGAATGTAATGTTGTAATTCTCTCTTTAACTTTAGCTCTTTTATAAGCTGAAATTAATTTTTGACTTTTCTGACCATACTTAAAAAAATATAATTTAAATAAAAATTTATAATAAAATAAAAAATAAAATTATTTGATTGGTCACAGTGAACATTTTATCAAACAGAATTGCTCTCCCATGCAAAAAATAGTGACCTTTTTTTTTCATCTGTTAAAAATAAAGAACATGATTCTAATGTATACTGATTCTATCACTTTAAATATAAATATTTCTTATATTAAGAGAATTTTTTCCTTGTTATTATTACTAATAATATAATTTTTATATTTTTTCTATAGAATTTAATTCTAATAAATTTTATTTTCATATAAATTTAACAAATAATTATGATTATATTTTGTTAAAGAATAAAATTTATTTCAGGCACCAAGACATGTTTGATTAGTCTCACAGGTTGAAAGTTTAAGAGGAGAATCTCCAATTTCAAAAAAAATCAAATCCCCTGTTTTCTTGCCAACTAGCTCAGTCATGAGATTATCAAAAGTGTGCTAAGTGCAACTGATTGTGAATAATAAAGAACGTAAGTTTATCTGAGGGATCAAACCACATTAAACAATTCATCTATGATTTAAGGGAATAGAAAAATAAAAAATAAGGACATGCAAAAATCAGTAATAATTATTGAGGACCATAAAATCTTGATTGAAATTGAGTTTAAGTGCTAGGGTCCTTTTCTGTAGTTTATAAATTATTGTTATAACTAAAATACTCTTAAAAATAAGTGACAAAATGTACATTTTTTTTTACTGAAGAAATGCATATATCTTCAATTATAATGTACATTTCACATGGGTGTTTAGTCAAAATATTTTTTTAAACTGCAAAAAAGGACCATGGTCCTTCAATTCAATTTTAATATCTTGTGGGCTTGAATGATTGTTTCTGATTTTTGTTTGTCCTTAATTTCAATTTTCCTATGAGAATCAAAACACACTAAAGCTATGTTTGGTTCGATGTAGGGGAAAGGGAGGGAATGGAGGGAAGTAGAAGGTTTTAATGATACCTTACTTGATTTTGTTGGATGGAGGAGAGAGGGTTTTAATGATATCTTGTTTGGGAGGGGAGGCGAGGAGAGGGGAGAAAATAATTAATTTAATATTTTATCCCTATATATTAGCTTATTTTAAAGAAATTGTTCCTCATATAAAATATTTTTTCACCTTAATTAAATTATAATTTTTAAATGTTGTGCAATATTAATAAATTTTATATTAATTATTGTATATTGATTAAATATTAGTTTTATATTATTAAGAAAACGAAACAAAGAAATAAGGGAATAAGCTTGCCTTGGGGATTGACTGATTTATTGCAATAAGAAGACCCCTAAATAGCTGTTGCTGGGAGGGTGGAGATCCAGTTGGGTGACGAATGACAATAATAAGGTGGGTTTCATTTTTGTTCAATCTCAATGATATAACAAGGTGGGTTTTGAGGGGGTAAGGTACAAAAGGAAAGGTTGTGACTGTTTCATAAGTGGCTTGCTGAGCGGTAACGGTAACCATTTTTGATGAGTTTAGCAGTGGTGGCTAAAAGTGAGAACCATCACATGTTAGAAGAGAAGGTTTTTTGTTTTTTTTAACACGGGCATTTATGAAATATCAATAAAAAATAGAGGGCAATATGGTTAAAATTTTTAGCTCTCCTCTAAAAACTACCAAATTGGAGGGGAGGGGAGGGAAACGGGGGGCAATTTTGGCTCCCTTATAAAACCTCTAACCAAACACATTCTAAAAGCTCTGAAAATAAAGGCATACCAATTGTAATTCGCCCACTTTGACCTTGCCAATTTTTAGTCCAGCCTCCACATTGAAGCCCTAGATCATCTGCATGAGTTCCAGATACAAGAATCCTCTTGGCTTTTCTGTTTAAAGGAAGTAAAGGTTTGCTATGAAGCTTCCCATTTTTCAACAGAACCAAGGACTTTTGAACTGCTTCACGTGCAAGATCTCTATGTTTCTGGATAAATGGTGGATGATAAACAAGTTTTTAAGAACTATATAGGAAGATATAAGTGGCACTGATCAAAATCTATCAGTTACTCTTGCACACTGAAATATTCGCAAATGAGAAAATGGAAATCCTTTATTAAGGAAATTTAAGGATTGAACTGCTAGAAACTTGCAAAAGATATTTATATTAATATGACAAAACCTCAAGCCAGTTTTAACAATACACAACTTGAGAATCATTTAAAAATGCAGTGAGATGGACAATTAAGGGTAAAGAAATACTACTCTTCCGGTTCTTTTTATAGAACATAGAGAAAAAATTAATTTTGTTCTTATTTATGGGGTATGTCCCTATTTTCTATGTTCATTTTTTCCTTTTTAGCCTTGTTAAATGCTATGAAAAATTAATAAAAATAATTATTTTTGTTCTTATTAAGGATAAAGGTGGAAACTTATTAACTTTTAAAATAAAATTAATGATATTTAATGTTTTACTTGGTTTCGGTGAAATATGCTAGAATTCATTTATAAATGAAACTAGAGAGAATAGAAGATTAAGTTAAACGGATTCAGTTGATCAAATTTCAAAATATGGTGAGAAGTCAGACTTAACATATGAATGAAAATTTGAAAATATTCTGAATTATTTTTTACCTTGCAACCAACTATATCTAGCAAAGATCTATCAGATAAAGGGGATTCAAAAAGATCAGAAGCAAATTTCACTCTTAATATTCGTTCAACAGCACCATCAATTCTGGCAATTGGTACCTCCCCTGATTCTACAAGGGAGGTCAGTTCTTCAATAAATTGTTCAAATCTATAAGGCACCATCACCTGAAAATTTTCTTGAATAGATGAAGGAAAAGAAGGGAAAAAACACAAAAGAAAAGAAAAGATAAGCAAACCATGATAAAGATTTCTAGAATTGAAGATTCTTACCATGTCAATTCCAGCATTAATAGCTGAAAAGATGCTCTTTCGGTAATCTGACCCAATTGGTGTAGCAAGCTTATCAATTCCCATCCAGTCAGAAGTTACAATACCCTATAGCAGAGCCAATAATAGTGTAAATTAAACAAAATCATTAATTCAAATGGTGTGAAACAGATGGAAAAGGAAAAGAACTTCAGTTATGGTAGTGTTTTATTCAAATAATAAAACAGGAAGGAGTCTTATCCTCTTTGGATAAGAGACAGGACAACAAAGACAACAATATCTTCAGCACTAATTCCTATCATCATGGTTGTCTTACCTTAAAACCTAGCTTTTCTTTCAAAATTTCAGTAATAAGGAAATGGTGAGAATGGAGTTTGCTTCCATTCCAACTTGAATAAGAAACCATAATGGTTGAAACCCCCTGTGAAATGCAGTCCAAATAAGGAGTCATGTGGATTGTTTCTAACTCTTCATATGATAATATTGTATTTCCTCTATCTTTGCCGTTCTCAATACCTCCATCTCCAACAAAGTGCTTTGCACAGGCAATAACCTTGTTTCTGAAATATTGATAACATATAAGGAAACAATTTTGACAGAGACCTACGCATGACCCCTAGTTTGGTGAATTTTCCAGAATGTGGTAACTATGAGAGGATCTGTAATATAAAGTAGCCATGTGTTTAAATGGGGAATATGAAAACATAAAGATTAGCGTGGAAACTTCGGAAACATAAAAATTTTCATCAATGAAGTAACTAAAAGAAGACTGAAATGAAATATTTCTTTTCTAGGGGATGAGTCAATCTTGGAAAAATCATATTAATAGACTACAATTTTTTTTTACAAAAAAAAGCAGAGAAACTACAAATTTAGAAAAAAGCAGAAAAAATTGAAGTCAACTGCTGTCAAGATTTAGTATAGATTGTGATTGGGATGGTACGTGATATTTTTATAAGTATCACTATTTCCAGAGAGAACATTTTTCCCTAGAAAGTTTCTCTTCTAGGTGAGTCAATCTCGGAAAAGTTATTTGGATAGACAACAAATTTTTTTTAAAAAAAAAAACAGCAGAAAAAATGGAGTCATCCTATCCTCAACTGTCAGGATAATTATTTAATTATTATTTCCATAGCAAACATATTTTTCCAGGACTTATGTGAAAGTTTCCCTCTACCTTCCACCGACAAACGGATAACCATGTTGATGTCCTTGTGGAGGATGACCCTGCAAGCCTGAAACTATGGAGCTCATCTTTCTGACTATCTCAGTTTCTTCACTGTAACTCTCATAGCATCTTCCCCACCTGGGATCTCTGCAGACCTGTCCATTAGTTCATTCAAGTGAGACATGATTTTATCTGTCATTTATACAGAGGTGCGATTACAAGGGGATGGTTTTATCTAGCATGATTTAAAATTAGAATAGAATACGGGTTAATTATGATGCCTTACTGCAACACAAGGAGCAAAAACATAGTGAATCCCACTTGCTCTAACTTCAAGTGCTGTTGCAGCCCCAATTCTTTCTGCTAAATCTGCATCCCTACAAACGGTCACGAGCAAAAAATGAAAACTACAAAATGTCAAGAACAGCAGCAATTATATATTGGTACAAATGCTGTAGTAACAAACAAGCTGTTACGGGATCGATTCTTGACCCCACTTGTACAATTGACAAACATCAAACAGCATGAGAACTCAGAAATTACTGCCAATGGAGAATTGGTGCTCTAATCAACTTCAAGGGAAAGCACCTACCTAGTAGCTCCGAGGCCAACATTGTGAGGATATATAGTGGCACCGTATATGCTATTATTACCATGAACTGCATCGATCCCATACATGAGCGGTATGCCTAATCTGGACTCGAGAGCCGACATTTGAAATCCATCCACCATGTCAGCCCAGTCCGATGCCATGGCATTTTCAAAAGGGCCACCCCCTCCACAACTAAGCATGCTCCCTTCAAATATCAGAACCAGAATATCAAACATGTCAATCTTCAAATCCTGAAGGAGAAAAAAGGTAAGAGATAAAATAGTACCAATAGACCAGTCCCTAATGGCGGAAGGAGTTGCGACGCGACGCTCGATTTGGGTCATCTGACCAATCTTCTCTTTCAGAGTCATTCGGGAAAGAAGGTCCTGAACGCGAGCTTCAATTGGTTCATTGGGATTCTTGTACAAGCAATCCATGCCCTCCAATCTGTTCATCCAACTCATCGGCTTCAAAAGGCAGAGTACGAACGAGAAGCTAAACGTATTGTGAAGAGCGCAGTGTGATCACTGATCTCCAATGTCCATTATAGAGCGGGGAGAGAAATTGCTTGTCTACGTTAACCATGACGCATGGCCCCAATGGAGGCGTTAATGATGACCAACACAGCACAAGACCGCGTTTTTTGTCTTAACGTCTCTGTTTTTTTTTGAGTAAAAGGGAATATCATTGACTGAGATAATCAAAGAGTTTCGAAACTGTAGAAAGGGGAAACAAGAGTAAAGACACAGCAAAAGAAGATAATTATTACATCAGAAAATAGTATAAGCTTTAGTGGTGTGATCAACTATGTTAGGGGCCTGGCGAAGCACACCCTCAGTGGTGCAATGTTCGTCAGTGAATATTCTCAGGTTTCCAGCTTCCCAAAGTCTCCAGCATAGAACACTCGCTTCAATCCTCCGCCCAAATACGTGTCAGACTTCTCTTCTATTTTATGATTCTTATCAATGCCAACTTTTAGAGTTTTTTTATTTGTTTAATATAAAAGGCTTTCTTATTTGATTAAAAAAATAATAAAATGATAATTTTTCTCTTAAATTATGTTACTTGTTGACAAGAAGAACAATGTTGCTCGACTAAAAAAAATGAGACTATTGTCATGTGTATTGTGTATATTAAAAGTAAAAATTTTAATTTTATCCCTCCTTGAACTGTAGTAAAACATAATTAAAATATTTGTTTTCATGTCATGTGTCACATATGTTGCATTAATTTAATATGGCAATAACTATATTAATAAAATAATAGTTAATTAATGTAAGGAGTTTTGAAAAATAAAATTGAAAATTAAAAAAATTAAATTTAAATGTTTAAATGTGTGGGAGGTGATATGCAACTATTTCAAATGTAAAATTTTTTTATGCATTTTAACCTTTTTTAATATAAGGTATATTTTGAATGTTTTTTGTTAGCTCTTTCAAGTCCCGAAAGAAGTGAAAAGAAAGTAGTCTGTGTTTGGCATGTCTTGGGTTTCACAGCCTGTGTTCGATTGAATTAACCTAACAATATGTGAAGGCAATTTAACTAATGGTTGAAGTCCCTTGTTTGCCATTAGTTCTCTATCAAGCATATTTTAAACTTATAATTAAAGGTAATATATTGATATTTCAGTTTACAAAATAATACATTTTAGGTTAAATCTACAAAAATTCTTATTATTTGATATCTTAAGGAGATTAATGAACAATAATACTTTACAACAAATGGATTTTTATTGGAGATAAATAAAAAAAGTGCGATTGATTACTTATAATTTGAAGATATGAATATCATCAAAGAGATTAGTTGATTAGTTCTTGTATTTTTGTCTTTTCTATTTCCATCCTCTTTTTTTGATTAGGAGTTTCTAGTCGTGTCTCGTCCTATTTTGATCCCAAACAAGACAGGACCATCTCCAGGATTAGAGAAGACATGGGATTAAAATCTAACCCAACTTATTTTTGGGAGAGGACAAGTGATAAAGTGTCTTGGACTTATCTTATGCATACCCTTCAATAAAACTATAGTTTACAACTTCTGCAATCACACAAATAAATTAATGTAAATATCAAAAAGTGATGCAAAGGTGTGAGAAAGAGTGTAAAAAAGGAAACTACATTCCATAGAGAGTCTTCTTTATTTATATCTCTCTTAATGAATACATAACTACATAGTTGCAAAAGATTCAATACCTATTTGGGTAACTTTCAAAAGCACATTCAAGCCATATTTGGCATGTGCTTTTGCCAAATCTAATAAATAGTTCAATCCCCCAAATGGACTTTTTTTAGATATAAACTGAAAATCAAATACACATTCAATTTGACCAAAATGAGGTTTTAGGTCCTGTTTGCGTACTAGAATAGAATGGATTGAAAACATAAAGGTAAAATTAAGATGATTAAAGGGAATAGATGAGCACATTCATAAACGGAAGAGGTAATTTAGTTCATGAGATTGAGAATCATGATTCATGAGATTTTGGAGGGTGCAATAATTTTCACATTTGTAGTATATATTATGATGGGGAGAAAGGTGATCTAGTTCATTTTTATCTTTATTTTTTTTAAAATTCGTTCCATTTTATTCTCTTTTAGCAACCAAACGGGACCTTAATTCTTAGAATATGTCAACCCAAAGCCAAGTGGGAATAAAGGATCATGCATTTTAACCCCATAGTTTGGTTGATCAAGATCCTCAACTCTTCTAAACCAAGTCACAGGAAGCTAACCCTTGAAGTCATGATCTCTAAAGATAACATCTATGATTCCTTGAGCTTTAATGCTAGGTAACCAAGCAGTAACAAGAGCATTAGTCTTTTCTAAAAGCCATAGCTCTAACACCAATGGTCTTTCAGATATTAGAATAACCAGTGTTAGGAGTTTGTTTGCAATTGAGCTTATAATATTTGGGCCATTAAATCAGATTGCGAGCTTATAATTGTCACCAAAAAACTTAGTATAAGGTTTTTCCCCAACAGCTACAATGGCAAAATATATGTCATTACATTCTAGAGTATTTTTTGATGGACTTTACTCATAAATAACTTCAATTTCATCGCCTACAGCTTCCTTAATGGCCTCCAAGAACATTGTCCCTAAAATAGTGTGCAAAGGTTAAACATAACAACCATGTGGAATAAGGAAGTAAAAGAGTGGTATAAATATAAAGCATCAAAAATTAGCATTAGCACAAAGCGTAAAATAAAATTAGAGATGAAAAAATGAATTGGGTTATAAGGTTAAAAATTAGCCCAAGGCCTAATAGACTAGACCCATAAGAGATCAGGCCAGCCAATGTCTTTATCTTTTTTAAATGTTAATTTATTTTTTTAGAAAAGAACATTAAAATTAATGGTGCAAGTTGATGATGAAGTTTGATATTTCTTTGACAATTAAAATTAATTCATTTTCATGCAATTATGTTTTCTTTTAATTTGTAATTACATGATAAATATAATTTTTTTATTTAAATAGTTGAATTTTCAAGTCATGTGTACTGTAATGTATTTATTGTTCAAAAAATTGCAACTTCAACCTTATTTACTTTAGATATTATATTCATATTTACTAATTTTGTAATGTAATATAAAATAAAATAATCACATACCCCGACATATATACAATCTTACTAACCAACTCTAAGTCCTTATAAAATGGGGTAAGGTTACTTGGTCTACTTATTTAATTATTTTTTTCATGTTCGTACTTAAAAAAATGAGGTTTTTGTATGAATGTAAAGTTGCTGATATGGGTCAACACAACATTTTCTATCTCAAAGATAATAAAGAATAATTATCCAAAATGACTATTAACAAAATTTATATGATTAAAATAAATTTTTTATTAAAATATTTTTAAGATAATTGAAAAATTGTAGATAAAATTTATTTTTAATAAAAGAAGGGGAAGCATTTAACTTAGGAGAAGATAAAAGGTTAATAGTTTATTTGTTAATTTTTGAGAAAAAATATGAAAAAAAAGTAAAAGATATTTAATGCAAACTAATATAATATATACTTATAAATAAATTATATACTTAATATTTTTATTTAAAAAAATAAAAATAAAATTTAAAAATTGTTAAAAGTGTTTATCAGAAAATTATTTAATATTTAAAAAATATTTCATTTTAAGTTCATTTTTCTAACAAAAATAATATTTTATAAAAAATATAATATATATATACACTCATAGAAATTATTTTTAACATATTAATAAATGAAAATAAAACAAAATATATATGTATATATTTTTAATAATATATTATTTGATATTTGTATATGTAGTTAAATAATATATATTTAATTTTGTATATAATAATATAGGAGCATTTCAGCTTAACTAGCAACAAATGAGGACTTAAGGCTTGAGAGGTGGAGGTTAAGGGCTCAAATTTTGGCTTGGACATATTTCACAACGAACATGCATATTTCACAATAAATATGTGACATGGCACGTGGTGATGACATAGCATGATGTGGCACAAGTTGTTAGGTGATGTGGTGCACACATAGCGAGGTGATGTGTCACAAGAAAGTGCACACATGACAAGTGATGTGGCATAAGGTGTCAAATAACGTGGCATAAGGAGGCATTGATGTGGTATGAAATGGCTTTCTTATTTTTCTTAAAAAAACTTGACTTTTGGTGGCGACAAAAAGTCACTGCTAAAGGATTTTAGGAGTGATTTTTTGCCATCAAACAGTCACTATTAAAAGTTTTGTCACTAATAATTTTTGGTGGCGATAAACATAGTTACTGCTAAAGGTAAACTTTTAGTGGCAAAAATCTTTATCACTGTTAAAAGTATATTTTTGGCAGTGACTATGTTTGTTGCTATCAAAATCTTGTAGCGACAAGACTTTTGGTGGCGACCCTTTGGCTACAGAAAGTCACCGTCAAAGGTTTTTAGTAGCGACTTTTGAACTTTTGGCTGGGACTTTTTGTCGTTGCCAAAAGTATTTTTTTTTGCAGTGACAATAAGTCAGATTATGGCAAGGTAAGCTAGAACTGGTTTGCCTTTAAATGCCAACCCAACCCATCATAGGTGAGTTGGTAGTCCAAACCGCCAACATGCTTTTTGAATATTTTTTCCAAAAATTTATTAATTGAGTTTCAATTTTTATAAAATAAACTTGAATTATTTTCATATTTTCTTTATATTTTATGATTAAATTAATTTCAGAATCTACAAATATAAGCAAGTAATATATTTTACACAATTATTTGATCAATATAAAAATGATAAATGGAAAAAAGGATCAAACATAAAATTATGTTCCTAAAATAAATCAAATAAAGTTATGCTTAAAATAAATAATAAAAAATTTTTTTTTAATAAAATTAAAATTATAACCAAAAATTATAAAAAAATAATAAAAAGCAAGCTAACATGTTAGGTTGTAAGTTAGGGAGGGTGGGGCAAATGAGCTTCACTTTAAATGGGTTAAAAATTCTCCAGCTCAACCTATCAATTTTGGTGGATTGGCTCGTTGAACCTAATCCATATTCTCTACTCTATGAGAAAGATCTTTTGACCTTATCTTATATATGCCTAGAAAAAGGGAATGCTACCCGTTTAAGACTACATCTATTTTTTTAAAATAAAATGTGAAATGTTGAGAGAGGGGGGGTCTTTGTAATGGAAGTTTTCAATGAACAATCTAGCAAGCTATCTCCAATACAATTAGTAAATTTCTTCATTTTCCTTTATGAATTTGTTTTTAATGACCACTTTTCCTACTTATCTGATAATCCACTTACTTAATTTAAAATTTATATTAAGCTTTGGTTCTCATTATAATAGCTAATT